ATAAATGGGCTGCGAGCAGTGCGGTACTCAGATCGTTTTAGCGGCGTCAATAAAAAAAAATGAGCGAGATAAATAATGTAATCATGATAATGTTGGGAAATACTGCACTTGACTCGATGATATATGCATATGTTTTTGTACTCGCTAAATGAATGAATGAGAAAACACACGGCCAAAATGTTATTTCCATGATTTCTGAGGACGACGTTTGTTTTCTTTCTACAAACTTGAAAATATAGCGTGTGCATTCGCAGGTAAAGGCCCGGTGCATAATACCGACACCTTTAATCAGGTTTTACAGATATTACGATTAGGTGTGTGGGAGTGGAAGCTGTACGACTGTTATTAATAATTATATGCAGGTTTTGGATAGAGAGAGTCACGAATGTGGGGTGGGGATGGGGTGTTGATCTTCTTGTCTTTTGGTTGTTACGCCTACATTTCAGTGTTAGTGATCTTGGTGTGCCAAGGTACAACAAGGTAATAACATGAGATTTGAAGGTCCATGAACTTGAACTTTGGTGTTTTACATGTATCTGCCATCACTTTCAGATATGTTATTTTCGCATGTACGTTATTCTTCTCTTAATGGGCAATGGTTGTCATGCAGCGTGCATGTACGTTCCAATATTACAATTTCATTAAACAAGCAATGTATTTTACACTGATTGTGTACATTGCATTACAACCATCTCATGCACAACATGTTGCAGTGATTATTATAATATTTTTCCTAAATGTCTGCTTTTAGCTGATAGCACTGTGCGTCAGCATCAGTGGAATTTGAACAATAGCGTTTGCCGTTATCAGTAAAATTCTATAATATTTGAACATACATTTATAAAAAAAACAAAACAATAATGTTATTGTTCCTATTTTCTAGTCTATTCAGTTTCAGTTTCAAAGGACATATGCTACATTGTATCTGGGTATTATTATAAAAAAAACACCATTATGAGTTCTCACCAATTGTTCCTAATGCTTATATGCTTGTGACATCACTGGGCCTGAAAACTTTCGTTAGGGCAAAATCAGCTTACAATGTATGTCTTTGTGCTTTTTGTTTTTGCACAAGTGTTTTACACCAAGATGGTCATCAATTTGATTCTGTCCCATGGTTTTATACATCATATCATTCATACAAAAAATACATTGTTAGGTTAAAGGGCGGCAGTCGTCGTGCCGCGTTCTGTTCGATATAGGATTCATAGCGCTGTATACAACGTGTGTAAAATACATTGTTTATTTACATGAAATTCAAACACGCGCTGCGTGATGACCACTGCGCTTTAATAAAGGAGAATGCTACTTGTGAGTTTTTTAGCACATATAGCAGTAGTGATATTTTGTGTCAAAATCTGTCCACAATTATTTGTTTTAGTTTTAGTCAACAGTATGTGAACTTTTTTGGTTTTTGTGAAATAATATGCAAAAAATGTAATTTTAGCAGCAGTTTCTCTAGACCACTATGAAAACACATTTCCTCGATAAAAACCCTTTAAAATTTTTTTAATAATTCTAGTTTTACTTTTTTGTAGCATGCTACTCATAATTTTTGAGAAAGCTGGTCATAAACTGCATGTCAATGTTCATTGGTTTATAATGTAAAATAATGGATCTATTGTTCTATGGCACCATAAAATAGCGTTCTTTTGTGTGTTATCGTACAGTGATATAATTTTAGAACTTTGTCGTACAGGGTAAAATTTATCAAAAATCACTATTTTTATACCCCAGCTGCCTCAGTTTGTTTGGCCAACAGAAGAATTTTTGAGAAAGTTGGTCATAAATTGTGTGACAATGTTTATTGGTTATATTGTAACATGATAGATCTATGGCACCATGAAATAGCATTCTTTTGTGCGTTAGTGATATAATTTGAGAAACTTGTCCTACAGGGTAATATTTCTCAAAAATCGCTATTTTCATCAGTTAATGACTGATCTATCGACTTTGTACACTATGTTTGACTCTGAGTTGGAATCCTACATTGGTTGAAGAATGTGGCAAAACAGGGATTGCACCATCATTTTCTCAAAACTTAGTAGTTATCCCTTGCAACCTTGGCATAATACATGTCTAGTTCTCGTTTCTGTCTACAGTAATCCTGGCCAATGTGGAAAGTTAGTATCGCGGTCGTTTGGTTCAATTTGAATACATTTCTGGTTGACCAGCTACATGCGAGTGGCATAAACATACATGACATTACTTGTAGAAAACTACATTGATTTACTTTTACTTGAACAGAAATACAACAACAGCAAACACCCACATGATTCCAGCATTTGAATCACCCGTCAATTGACAAATATGGGCATGAAATTAAGTAATTATTGTTACTGACATCTTGTCTTGCATGCTTGGGTTTGTGAGATGCAAATTTATAGTGGGCGGCACTGGAATCGTATACATGTAGCAAGTGTTCTGGAGTATATTTTTCGATAGTGAAGTGAAGAAGACAATCGTAGGTAGTTGGGTACTATTTTTAGAACAATTCCATAAAATACTTACTATGTTAAAGGAAAATTGCATTTTTTGGCACTTTTTAAAACACATATTTTTTTAAATATTTCAGGACTACGTAACAACGATTTTTTCATCCTAAATGTATGTCACCAGCCTAAAGTTTGAGATATGGCATATTATTATCGCTGCCATCGGAACCTATGGTAAAAACATTAAAATACTGACAAAATGACCATTATCCACTGAATTACAGTCATTTCCTTGACAAGTTGGTGACCCCCAACTTTTTGATCAACATCCTTATATTTTCCAGAAATACAATTTAATGCAAAATGAATAAAGTCTGGGTGTTAGCTTTTATGAGTAGGCTTCTACATGTACCTAAAAATACATAAATAACACCATACAATTACAAAAATTAATTTACACTAGGGTTTTAAATTCATTTGGATTTACTGGTGAAATGTTTGATCTATATTTTTCACTTTGATTTTATTTGCCAGATTTTGAGTATTGGTGAAATAAAATGCCACTGAATAATTTATTCAGTTAAAGTAATAGCCCATGGCGTTCACCGAGTTTTGAAGTGAACATGATGCTTGAAATGTCACTGCAAATAGTAGTACAAAAGTAGGTGGCTTTGCAGATCAAAAAGAAATTTGTTTTGCCGACTACAATAATTTAATCAACTCGTTGATAGTAATGATGCTGCATATAACTCTGTGTTATTGGATTTTCCAATTAATTCCATCAAGGACTATTGTTCCATCTGGATTGATCAGTATGTCCTGCCACCCAAACATGTGTGATTAGTATGTTCTGCCCCGATCACCAAACACGTGAGATGAGTATGTTCTACCTAGATCACCAAACATGTGAGATGAGTATGTTCTACCTAGATCACCAAACATGTGAGATGAGTATGTTCTTCCTAGATCATGTGTGATGAGTATGTTCTGTCTAGATCATGTGAGATGAGTATGTTCTGTCTAGATCACCAAACATGTGAGATGAGTATGTTCTTCCTAGATCATCTGAGATGAGTATGTACTTCCTAGATCATGTGAGATGAGTATGTTCTACCTAGATCACCAAACATGTGAGATGAGTATGTTCTACCTAGATCACCAAACATGTGAGATGAGTATGTTCTGCCTTGATCACCAAACATGTGAGATGAGTATGTTCTACCTAGATCACCAAACATGTGAGATGAGTATGTTCTGCCTTGATCACCAAACATGTGAGATGAGTATGTTCTGCCTAGATCACCAAACATGTGATATGAGCATGTTCTACCTAGATCACCAAATATGTGAGATGAGTATGTTCTACCTAGATCACCGAACATGTGAGATGAGTATGTTCTACCTAGATCACCAAACATGTGATATGAGCATGTTCTGGCTAGATCACCAAACATGTGAGATGAGTATGTTCTTCCTAATGAACATTTCTGGCAGTCATAAATCAGATAGTGTTGTCCCACAATGCATCAGTACAATCCCAGTGAGTAATAGCTTTCTCTTCAATGAACATTCCTGACAGTGATAAATCTGTAGTGTAAACACAAAATACATATTGTTGTCCCATAATGCAACAGTGCAATCCAAGGAAGTAATAGCTTCCTCTTCAATGAACATTCCTGACAGTGATAAATCTGTAGTGTAAACACAAAATACATAGTTGTCCCATAATGCAACAGTGTAATCCAAGGAAGTAATAGCTTCCTCTTCAATGAACATTCCTGACAGTGATAAATCTGTAGTGTAAACACAAAATACATATTGTTGTCCCATAATGCAACAGTGCAATCCAAGGAAGTAATAGCTTCCTCTTAAATGAACATTCCTGACAGTGATAAATCTGTAGTGTAAACACAAAATACATAGTTGTCCCATAATGCAACAGTGTAATCCAAGGAAGTAATAGCTTCCTCTTCAATGAACATTCCTGACAGTGATAAATCTGTAGTGTAAACACAAAATACATAGTTGTCCCATAATGCAACAGTGCAATCCAAGGAAGTAATAGCTTCTTCTTAAATGAACATTCCTGACAGTGATAAATAGATGTAGTGTAAACACAAAGCACATATTTTGTCCCACAGTGCATCAGTGCACTCCCAGGGACGTGTACCTTCCTCTTTAATGAATATTCCTGACAGTGATAAATGTGATATGTAAACACAACATAGACTATATGTATTGCTAAGGTACTAATGGGCCAATCAATGCAATGTCACACTAATGGCTTGTCACCATGGATAACCATTTTCTATTGACTAACTGACACAAGGGCAAGAGATATGTCAAGTTACAGTACAGTCTTCAAGCTGGATTTCAGCTTGATTTCATTTTGAATTATTCTATAATTATTAAAAGTAAATATCATTTTCATAATTTCAACTTATTCTGACCTTGTATATGTTACATATTTACATGTACACCAATTAATTTAGATTTTGAAAGCAAGTTAGCTAAGCAGGCTTTTTTAGCCAGGTAGTATTATCTACATGTTGAATTATACTCAGAATGTACTGTAGTTGCATGGATAAGGACAATGTCGTAGCTGCTAGACATAAAATCAAGTTAGTTGCATGGGTTAGGGCAATAGTTGCAAGACATAAAGTCAGGTTAGTTGCATGGGTTAGGGCAATAGTTGCAAGACATAAAGTCAGGTTAGTTGCATGGATTAGGGCAATAGTTGCAAGGCATAATATCAAGTTAGTTGCATGGGTTAGGGCAATAGTTGCAAGACATAAAGTCAGGTTAGTTGCATGGGTAAGGGCAATAGTTGCAAGGCATAATATCAAGTTAGTTGCATGGGTAAGGGCAATAGTTGCAAAGCATAATATCAAGTTAGTTGCATGGATTAGGGCAATAGTTGCAAGGCATAAAGTCAAGTTAGTTGCAATAGTTGCAAGGCATAAAGTCAAGTTAGTTGCATGGGTTAGGGCAATAGTTGCAAGACATAAAGTCAGGTTAGTTGCATGGGTTAGGGCAATAGTTGCAAGGCATAAAGTCAAGTTAGTTGCATGGGTTAGGGCAATAGTTGCAAGGCATAAAGTCAAATTAGTTGCATAGGTAAGGGCAATAGTTGCAAGGCATAAAGTCAAGTTAGTTGCATAGGTAAGGGCAATAGTTGCAAAGCATAATATCAAGTTAGTTGCATGGATTAAGGCAATAGTTGCAAGGCATAAAGTCAAGTTAGTTGCAATAGTTGCAAGGCATAAAGTCAAGTTAGTTGCATGGGTTAGGGCAATAGTTGCAAAGCATAATATCAAGTTAGTTGCATGGGTAAGGGCAATAGTTGCAAGGCATAATATCAAGTTAGTTGCATGGGTAAGGGCAATAGTTACAAAGCATAATATCAAGTTAGTTGCATGGATTAGGGCAATAGTTGCAAGGCATAAAGTCAAGTTAGTTGCAATAGTTGCAAGGCATAAAGTCAAGTTAGTTGCATGGGTTAGGGCAATAGTTGCAAGGCATAAAGTCAGGTTAGTTGCATGGGTTAGGGCAATCGTAAGGCATAAAGTCAAATTAGTTGCATAGGTAAGGGCAATAGTTGCAAGGCATAAAGTCAAGTTAGTTGCATGGGTTAGGGCAATAGTTGCAAGGCATAATATCAAGTTAGTTGCATGGGTAAGGGCAATAGTTGCAAAGCATAATATCAAGTTAGTTGCATGGATTAGGGCAATAGTTGCAAGGCATAAAGTCAAATTAGTTGCATGGGTTAGGGCAATAGTTGCAAGGCCTAAAGTCAAATTAGTTGCATAGGTAAAGGCAATAGTTGCAAGACATAAAGTCAAGTTAGTTGCATAGGTAAGGGCAATAGTTGCAAGGCATAATGTCAAGTTAGTTGCATGGGTTAGGGCAATAGTTGCAAGACACAAAGTCAAGTTAGTTGCATGGGTTAGGGCAATAGTTGCAAGGCATAAAGTCAAGTTAGTTGCATGGGTAAGGGCAATTGCTGCAAGGCATAAAGTCAAGTTAGTAGCATGTGTAAGGGCAATAGTTGCAAGACATAATATCAAGTTAGTTGCATGGGTTAGGGCAATAGTTGCAAGACATAAAGTCAGGTTAGTTGCATGGGTAAGGGCAATAGTTGCATGGCATAAAGTCAAGTTAGTTGCATGGGTTAGAGCAATAGTTGCATGGCATAAAGTCAAGTTAGTTGCATGGGTAAGGGCAATAGCTGCAAGGCATAAAGTCAAGTTAGTAGCATGTGTAAGGGCAATAGTTGCAAGACATAAAGTCAAATTAGTAGCATGTGTAAGGGCAATAGTTGCAAGACATAATATCAAATTAGTTGCATGGGTAAGGGCAATAGCTGCAAGGCATAATGTCAAGTTAGTTGCATGGGTAAGGGCAATAGTTGCAAGGCATAAAGTCAGGTTAGTTGCATGGGTAAGGGCAATAGTTGCAAGGCATAAAGTCAAGTTAGTTGCATGGGTTAGGGCAATAGTTGCAAGGCATAAAGTCAAGTTAGTTGCATGGGTTAGGGCAATAGTTGCAAGGCATAAAGTCAAGTTAGTAGCATGTGTAAGGGCAATAGTTGCAAGACATAAAGTCAAATTAGTAGCATGTGTAAGGGCAATAGTTGCAAGACATAATATCAAATTAGTTGCATGGGTAAGGGCAATAGCTGCAAGGCATAATGTCAAGTTAGTTGCATGGGTAAGGGCAATAGTTGCAAGGCATAAAGTCAAGTTAGTTGCATGGGTTAGGGCAATAGTTGCAAGGCATAAAGTCAAGTTAGTTGCATGGGTTAGGGCAATAGTTGCAGGGCATAAAGTCAAGTTAGTAGCATGTGTAAGGGCAATAGTTGCAAGACATAAAGTCAAGTTAGTTTCATGGGTAAGGGCAATAGTTGCAAGGCATAATATCAAGTTAGTTGCATGGGTTAGGGCAATATTTGCAAGGAATAATGTCGAGTTAGTTGCGTGGGTAAGGGCAATAGTTGCATGGCATAATGTCAAGCTAGTTGCATGGGTTAGGGCAATAGTTGCAAGGCATAAAGTCAGGTTAGTTGCATGGGTAAGGGCAATAGTTGCAAGGCATAAAGTCAAGTTAGTTGCATGGGTTAGGGCAATAGTTGCAAGGCATAAAGTCAAGTAATAGTTGCATGGGTTAGGGCAATAGTTGCAAAAATAGGCCAAATCCACTGAACTCTGGGTGACTGTACCACAGACTCAATGGGTAGGCCAAATCCACTGTACCCTGGGTGACTGTACCACAGACTCAATGGGTAGGCCAAATCCACTGTACTCTGGATGACTGTACCACGGGTGACTGTACCACAGACTCAATGGGTAGGCCAAATCCACTGTACCCTGGGTGACTGTACCACAGACTCAATGGGTAGGCCAAATCCACTGTACTCTGGGTGACTGTACCACAGACTCAATGGGTAGGCCAAATCCACTGTACCCTGGGTGACTGTACCACAGACTCAATGGGTAGGCCAAATCCACTGTACTCTGGGTGACTGTACCACGGGTGACTGTACCACAGACTCAATGGGTAGGCCAAATCCACTGTACCCTGGGTGACTGTACCACAGACTCAATGGGTAGGCCAAATCCACTGTACCCTGGGTGACTGTACCACAGACTCAATGGGTAGGCCAAATCCACTGTACCCTGGGTGACTGTACCACAGACTCAATGGGTAGGCCAAATCCACTGTACTCTGGGTGACTGTACCACGGGTGACTGTACCACGGGTGACTGTACCACAGACTCAATGGGTAGGCCAAATCCACTGTACCCTGGGTGACTGTACCACAGACTCAATGGGTAGGCCAAATCCACTGTACCCTGGGTGACTGTACCACAGACTCAATGGGTAGGCCAAATCCACTGTACTCTGGGTGACTGTACCACGGGTGACTGTACCACAGACTCAATGGGTAGGCCAAACCCACTGTACCCTGGGTGAGTGTGTCACAGACTCAATGGGTAGGCCAAATCCACTGTACCCTGGGTGACTGTACCACAGGCTCAATTGGGAAATCAAATCCAAAGGTTCATTCATTCACTAATGGATGCTACTTTTTGGGGAACCTTGGTTAAAAGCTCTGCAGGTGTGTTTGACCAAGTTTGGTTGACGCATAAAAGTACATTAAATTGCCATAATGCTATTTTGATATAATAATGGGCACAAACACAGACCAATGTTTTTGGCTTCCATGTCAAATGAATGGGGAAAAAAATGACGATGTGTCAAAGGCTGTAGGTAATTAAAACATGTTAATCACTCTTTCCCTTCTCCCTGTCCTCATAAACGAACAAAAAAAAAGTAAACAAAGTGTGATTTCTGACAGTAATTGAAAACACCTTCACCCCCCTCTCCCATGTTGCATGAACCATTTGCACATGAAAAAAAAGTCAGGAGAAACAAAAATAAATTTAATTCCGGGAACTGTCATAAGACATACGAAAAATGGTTTATTTATTAAAATAAAGAATGATATTCCTAGGCTAAATAGAATCAGTATTCTGAAAATCAGATCAATTATGTTACTGGAATAACCAACCGTAGGATATAAATGAGAATTTATTCGACCCCACTGTGGACAGTAACGCAAATAAGCTGGAAAATTGAAATGCGAAAAAAAAAAATATTAGCATTGCATGTTTTTGCTATTACAATCTGTTGACGACGACACGCTGTCTTCTAAAGTAAATAGTCTCTTTCTTGCCTATGATTAGCCTTCTTGTATTTCTATATTATATGCAAATGAAAATAGTGAGTATCAAACGAACAGGTAACGTAGTTTTATTTTTTCAGATAATTTTCTTCAATCTGACATCACGCTCATTCTCTGTCACTCCTACCCATCTATAGACGAAGATCCGCTTCCCATTCCCGAAGAAAGCCTCTTGTAATTCAGCCTACGATAATGAACCATACCTTGAGGTCATATCCTTTATGAACGAAAACGAAATGTCGGTGATCACAATAAATCATCACACTTTCAGTTCATCTTCGTGATCAATCTACCAGACTTACTGGCACCAAGATCGCTTTGTAATTTGTATGCAAATTTTTTTTTTCTCTAAATAAAACTACTCCAGCATGTTTATGCATGCATGTTTTGGTTTGAAAATATTTTCCCATACAAATTAAATTGATTGATTGATTGATTGATTTTAAGTTAATCAGCTCTCTGCTAAGAATAGCAGACACCAATGTAGAATTGAAGGAAGTATATTTCTAAAGCTAACGAATCAATTAATGCCTCATAAAATATGTATGCTATCAATTGGTAATACATGTATTGCACTTATACATATAGTTTTTCGGATGTGAGTCTCTTGTATATATTTTTGCACCTGAATTCCTTGTCAGATTTCTCACTGTATTCTCTTTTTTATTTCATGCTGTATTCATACAAAATACCAAGATTATTATTATACATTTGTATTTATTTCAAGGCTTGGTGAAAAATGTTATTGTTTTGTCCTGAAAAATATTATGAACCATATTATTCCAGGTTAAAATGAGATAATCTTTGATTTTGAAGATTTTTTTTTTTAAATCTAATCCTGTATTACTAATTCAGAAAAATCTTTGTGGTTTAAAATTAATATACGTTTGATAATGTTTTAGAATCTAGTCGTCTTACTACGTCTTATTATAAATTGATTAGACAAGGAATTTCAAAATAAACATAGGGGAAGGCAATTACGTTACCAATAGCAAAATTAGTTTAGTTAAAGGTTAAATTATTTTCATGCATAATTGATAGTTTGAAAGCAAAAACAAAGTGTTTGGAAATTTACTAAGGCAATGCCAATGAAGATGAAACCGCAACTCATCAAGTAATCCGTTGAGCAGACTATAATACATCAAGGACTGCCTGATATTATTATATTACGGTTGCTTGTAAACTGACTAAACAGTTTGACCCAGTGTATGTGGATGGATTACAATAGCATATGATGAGACATGTCATTTGTCATTTAACACTGATTAAGCCACCCAATCTGGGAAGAAATCTTTATCGTTGACTTAATGCATTACAACGATTATATATCTATGACTGAAATTATTACATTTTTTCACCGTGAAGCATGTCACATTGTGCATATATTATTATAATAATGTATTTTTAAGCAGTACATTGAACAACTCCGTGAAAAGCGATAAAAATATAAAAAAAAATATACATTTGGCACTTCTAATGTGTAAAAATCTATACAGAGTGTTGGTTTTGTCGTTTCTATTTTGTGTTGCTAATGGCAACAGATTACTAAACCATGTAAACCTGTTGAATTCATTGTGTTCGTTATTGGTTGTTAATGCCTGATTACACTATTGCTTACAATGTAGTGCACCCTGTTTCTTTCATTTGCATGTAGTAATATTACGCAGTCAGCTGCTTCATTTGCACACACATAGCTTGAACATTTCTTTGTCACCTAATCACACTAACAGTGCAGAGGTGATCCAAGGGTAAAACAAATTGTATATATATATGATATATTGCTAGCAGTTTTACAGATTTAATTTATATATGAAAACTACCCCAAAAATGGAGATATCAATTATCATAAAAATAAAACAGAGGTATTTAATTTTAGCCCAGAAAAAAAAATATTCATATTTCTTATCATCAGCATGTCAGAAAATTTATGTTCATCAGTTTTCTTTTCTTCATAAAATAAATTTTCAGGAAATGTTAACCATTTTAAAATAAAAATAATAAAAAACAAAACATGCATGAGCAGCCATTTTAGAAAACAAAATGACCAGAAGTGTATTCATGTTTTTTTTTTTTTTTTAGATCCTCTCATTTTCTTTTTGTTCTGTATCCACATAATTGCATTATTACGTGGTCATCTACTCAATATTTTGTTCTTAAAAGGTGTAAACAAGTCTGTGTCTATAATTTGTAGTTTATTTGAAAAAAAAAAGAGCTGGACAATTATTTCTGTAATTTTGTTCATTGTGGCTGCACAGTTACTGATTCTATTATATATTACATAAATACATGTAGTTTGGATGTGATGAAAGAGATGTGTAATTCTCTTTCTTTTATGTCCACGTATAGTGCCAATAATGATACTCATCATGTCTGAAAGCCCAGTTTGTCATACTGTATGGCAGCTCCATTCTTTTTAATACTAAGAGACACCCAACCATTTTATTTTATTATTCCTCTTTTTTTCATTGCTTTTTTAGTAAATACAAATAATTAAAAAGGTCTCATTGTTTTTGTAGAATAATTTAAAAAGCAAAATCGAAGTACATTACATCCATGTTAAAAAAAATATGATGTGTATAAATGAAATAAATTTCCCTGTATTATATTGACAGAATTACTTGGACGATTTTAAGTAAATAACAAAGTGTTATGACTATTACCGTAAAATCTGTATTAGAAGCTGCATCCCTAATAGAAGTCGCACCCATTCTTTTTGAATAATTGAGAACCAAAAATTCGTCATTTCTCATATGTGTAGATGCTCTAATAGAAGCCTCATCCCCTCTATTGCATTGTACCATTTTAATAGAAGCCGCGGTTTCTAATACAGATTTTACAGTAGTACAAAAAAAAACAAAAAAACAATTGCTTAATTGTGCTGTTGCCTACAAACCAAATGTTGCATAAATTGATCGTTTTTCAACAGCTTTTTTAGTATATTGAAACGATAATTGTCATTGTTTTTTGTATTTTTTTTTGTAGAATCATTAAAAAAAAAATGATTAATTGAAAAAATTGTGGTGTGTGCAAAGGGCATAGATCTTCTCTGTAAATTGACAGAATTCAAAAATGAAGTAAAAATGAAAACACAGTAAAAAAAAACAAACAAAGCATTATGATGGTTAGTACAAAAAAATGATTGCAATAACTGATCTTTTGTTGTCGTCTGAGAACAAAACATTGCATCCGTTGACCTATTTTTCTCATCGCTTTGGTAACCTGTAACCTTTGACCCATATTGAAGTAATGATAATCCTTGAAGATACTAGCATGATTTGTCATGTCTCACACTGTTACCATGGTAATGTTTGATCTCATCTTGTGATTTCATTACTTGAAAATGTTTTTTTTTTTTCTCTCGTGCTTCCTCTTTGCCTCTATAGATGATGTATAGACTCATACAGCG